TGGAGGCAGCAGCTCTTCATGGGAGAGAATGTAATCACAGAACAGTCAGCTCCTCTCACACTTTGCCATAAACCTCCCTTTTTGCAGGGGTAGAAGGAGCAACATGAGCAGAGTTTTGGGCCACGCACAGTGTGGACCCTGTATGAAGTTCTCCAGACAACATTGTATGTTAGCAAAATTTATGCTTTCAGAACAAGTTACTGCAGTTATACAGGAAAAAAGAAAAAGCTTTCTAGAAGCCTAAGTATTTTGTACTAATATAGTTTGTGTTATGGTTTTTTTCCCAGTTCAAAGAATGGCTGATGGTGAGTCTGTCTACATACAGTATTGTTTACATTTGTACTGATTTTAATTTATAATGTTATGCATTTAGCTAACAACTTTCTGTGTTGTGGCTAGGAAAATGACAATGCCCTGTGATTTTAATTATGATTGTAATGACATTAAAGTTCAACTTTCATGGTAAAGAGATTGCACAACAGTACTTGTGAACTATAAAGGAAACTAATCCATTGTGTGGCAGTGCCCTTATTGGTAAGCTATGTTCACAAGTGCAATCACAATGAAGATGCTAGTGTAAGCTGATCAGGTACTTTCTTTGCATATTGTCCCAATGTTGTCGTTCATGGGGTCATTTTGCAGCTGAAAGATGAGTCTCCTTGAGTGTCATGATTATAACACGATTAAATGAAAAAATACCTGCACGGTGTTGAGTCCACGCTCTCTCTGACTGAAGGGACGTCTCTGGCACAGTGGATACTGGGGTCACTCTTTGGATCTATTAAAATGTCAAATTAAAATAATATTTAGGCCACACACCAATTTATATCAACTGAGGATAACTCCACGCAAACCAATGGATCTACAATAATTTGCAGCAGCAAAGCACTGGCCTTGTGAGTTTCCATGGCTCTTTGGGCATTCAGCAAATTACCCAATTGTAAATAAACTGAATAAATACTGAATAAAAACAAAAACATACAAAAATTCCCAAACTATATTCCCATGTCATTTTGTGATAAAGGAAAGAAGAAAATATTTTTTGCATCACTAATCATAAAAACAAAAGGTTTCTGAGAAAGTGATTCAAAATATCACAATAGCAATACAAACATTTGCGTATATTAAGCAATAAAATAATTGATTTTTGTGTCGTTATTAAAAAAGTCTCTATTTTTGTCTGTTTTCTCAAAAGAGAGCACTACACCCACTTATGAAACTAGTACAACCATTCCTGACACCAATACAACTACGGCGCCAGAGACAGCCATCTATTGTAACCCCTATTTTATCTTTGCTTTACTAATATTGTATCTATTTTATATTGTACCCACCTACTGAAAATATAGAATAGAATTTTACAGTTTAATGACCATATTCACTTACATGAAATCACTAGCATGATGACTCTATGATGGAGCTAGGCTGTTCTCAGTGGTGGCAGATGTGACAGAACAAGGAGCAATGGTCTCAAGTTGCAGTGGGGAAGGTCTAGGTTAGGTATTAGGAAAAGCTATTTCCCCCACTAGGAGGATGGTGAAGTACTGGAATGGGTTACCTAGGGAGGTGGTGGAATCTCCATCTTTAGAGGTCTCTTCCAACCCTAATTTTTTAATGCCCGGCTTAAAAAAGCCCTGGCTGGGATGATTGAAGTGGGATCGGTCCTGCTTTGAGCAGGGAATTGGACTAGATGACCTCCTGAGGTCTCTTCCAATCGTAATCTTCTATGATTCTATGAAGACAAAGGATATGAATAATAACGGTGGGTAACATGAGCTTTGGAAGACTGTATCATAGGAGAAAAAAATGATCAGTGTTTTTGATGAATGCAGTGAATGAAGAAGGCAGTGGATGTATCTGGACTCAGATGTAAGACATCTGGTCATTATATCAAAAATATTCTTTGGACACTTTAGTTAGTATCGGCTTGGACCTAAGTATTGTCACATGGATTACAATAGAAAGATGAGTGCATAAAGAAGCACCGTGATGTGCAGCAATGTATTGACTTTAGTTGTGGTGACCAGAGAGTTTTTGCAGGGACTGATGCCAGAGGAGGGTTTCAGAGGGGGCTGGGAATATCTACGGGAGTCTGAAGTCAGAGCTGCTCTGATTTGCTACTGTAACCCTGGAGGCAGCAGCTCTTCATGGGAGAGAATGTAATCACAGAACAGCCAGCTCCTTTCACACCTTGCCATAAACCTCCCTATCTGCAGGGGTACAGGGAGCACCATGAGCAGAGTTTTGGGGCACACACAGTGTGGACCCCATATGAAGTTCTTAGTGCCAGACAATATTGTATGTTGGAAAAATTTATTCTTTTTGGACAAGTTCCTGCAATTATACTGGAAAAAAGAAAAAGCTTTCTAGGAGTCATTAGTATTTTGTACTTATTTAGTTTCATTAGTATTTTGTACTAATATAGTTTGTGTTATGTGCTTTTTTCAGTTCAAACAATGGGTGATGGTGAGTCTGTCTACATACAGTATTTTTTACATTTATATTGATTTTAATTTACAATGTTATGCATTTAGCTAACAACTTTCTGTGTTGTGACTTGGAAAATGACAATGCCCTCTGAATGTAATTATGATTGTAATGACATTAAAATTAAACCCTGGAAATGTGAAGTGAGTTTCATGCTTGGGAGAGAGAGTTCAGAGTGCTGGAGCCCAAAGTCTCCTATTCATTCACAGAAAAAACACAGCACAAGCCATGGCTACACGGACCAACCTTCCTCATTTGGTGGGACATCTCGGGTGAGGCACATTGACCACTGAGTCGTTGGTCTCTCTGCTGAGACAATCATGTCAACTAGGATAGGGCTATGGCCAGCCAGGAGCTAAAGGAGGATGACTAGCTTCTCAATAAATGGCATTGCATTGCCAATATGGGACAAATGTTAATTGGTAACCATGAAGTATTAGGACATCTCCATGTGAAAATGGACAAATAGTCTAGCAATCTATTGATTTGTGTCTTTCACAGATCTGGTGCTAGAACTTGCAAATGGGCCAAACCGCTGTGCAGGTCGTGTTGAAATCCTTCACTTTGAAGACTGGGTAAAAGTTTGCGGTGATTTGTGGGACATGAACGATGCACGAGTTGTGTGCAGGCAACTGGACTGTGGTGAGCCTGTTGCTGCTCTGAGAAATAGCTATTTTGGTGAAGGTTCGATAGATCCTTGGATGACTAAAGTGAGCTGTACTGGCTCTGAAGACATGTTGTGGTCTTGCCCTTATGAATATGCACACTATTCATGTGGTGTTTATGGAGATGCTAGCGTCATATGTGCAGGTATGTATTCTCTTTTATTGCATATCTGTAGCTTTTATACTCAGCAAATCAGCTTTGTGTTTCTGTAAAATAGACTAAGGATTGTATTTTTTAAAGTTTTGCTTTACACTTTTTCTTTCAGTATATGTCACATTCTTAGCTAAAATCTGTAAACCATACTTTAAAGGAAAGGTCATTAGGTGCTGATGTAGATCAGTGGTTCCCAAACTGGGGTTCGCGAACCCCTGGGGGTTCGCACAATGTTACAGGGGGTTCGCCAGAAAAATTTCCCTAATGGCAGCCAGAGGACCCGGGGCATGGGAGGCAGCGGGTGGGACCTGATTGCTGGGCAGACAGCCTGAGCCCAATGGAGCACTGAGCAGGCAGCCGAGCCCTGGTCAGCGGGGGGGTCGGCAGTCCGAGCTCCATGGAGAGTGGGCATAGGCAGTTGGGGCTGGCAGCCCGAGCCCTGCTCCCATCAGTGGAGGAGCAGGCAGCCTGAGCCCCAGCAGTCAGTGCGGGGCTGGCAGCCTGAGCCCCATGGAATGTGGGGCTGGGCAGTTGGGGCTGGCAGCCCAAGCCCCGGCGGTCAGCGGGGACCGGCAGCCCAAGCTCAGTTGAGAACTGAGCAGGCAGCCTGAGCTCCGGTTAATGGGGTCTAGCAGCACGATCCCCGCGGAGTGCAGAGCCAGCAGCCTTGCGCACCGGGGTCTCAGCGGCCGCCCTGCCCACCCAGGCCAATGGGGGCTGTGGGTAGCAGCGCGGGCTGAGGGACGTACTGGCCACCACTTCCAGCAGCTCCCATTGGCCTGGAGCAGCGAACTGCAGCCACTGGGAGCCGCGAAGTGCCGAACCTGCAGATGGGGCAGGTAAACAAACTGGCCCCGCCCGCTAGGAGCTTTCCCTACACAAGCGGCGTCCCAAGTTTGGGAAACACTGGTCTAGCAAGCAGCAGCCTCAAACCTTCTCTACTTCGGTGCCATTTAGAAACTAGGCATCCTGCACAACTCGACAAGCCTGTTGATTTTTTTCAAGTGAAAATTAGCTGAGAGGAAAAGTGACATTACCAGTTTTATATCCAAAGCAAGTACTGATAATGAAAATGCACTTGAAGCGTCATACCACGTGAGCTACCGAGTAGCAAAAGCATCGGAAGCCCATACCATAGCAGAGAGCTTGATTGGTCCATGTATAAAAAAGGTAGTTCATTGCATGCTCGGAGAAAAGGTTGCGAAAAGGATTGACATGGTTCCTTTGTCCAATAATACGTTGTCACGAAGAATTAATGATATGTCAAATAATATAGAGACTACAATTCTACATAGAGTGAAAAATAGTCCATATTGTGCTATACAGTTGGAGGAATCAACTGATGTAGCTAAACTAGCTATTTTGCTACTGTTTGTACGTTATGTGAATGAAGGTATGGTTGAAGAAGACTTGTTGTTTTGCCGACCATTAGAAGAATGTACAACTGGAGAAGATATCTTCAATCTGGCTAATGCATATTCTCAGGAAAAGGAAATAGATTGGTCTCATTGCCTAGACATTTGCACCGATGGGGCCATATCAATGATCGGATAGTATAGTGGATTTGTAGCTCGAACAAAAAAGGTTGCATCAAAAGTCTCATTGCAGTATCCATAGACATGCCCTCACAACAAAACTCATGCCTGAGGGACTGAAGGAAGTGCTGGACAATGCAGTGAAAATGGTGAATTTCATAAAATCACGGCCAACAAATTCCAGAATATTTCACCTACTTTGTGAAGAAATGGGTAGTATACACAATTGTCTGTTGACCCACACCGAAGTTAGATGGCTCTCACGGGGCAAAATCCTTGGCGCTTGTTTGAGCTTAGAACGGAAATCCTAGTTTTTTCAACAGCCACCCTTTCCACCTTGCTCCAGAGCCTAGCTTATTTAGCAGATATTTTCTCAAGAATGAATGTTTTAAAATGATCTCTTCAAGGCCTCAATATAACTGTTTTCAAAGTGTAAGAGCGAGTTGAATCCACGATAAAGAAGTTGCAGTTCTGGGAAAGTTGTCTGGAAAACAATCAAACTGAGTGTTTCAGTAATCTTCATGACTTCTTGGCAGAACATAAACTTCAGTTGGATCAGTGCACTAAAACCAATATAACTGCACACCTAAAAGGACTTTGCACAACTTTCAGGGAATACTTTCCAGTTATGTCAGGCAATAATGACTGGATTCGCAACCCTTTTGATGATACCACTTTCTCAATGCAGATACTGATCAGTGAGGAAAAAGAGAAATTGATTGAGATCTCCTGTGATTACGAACTGAAAAAGAGTTTAAAAAATCTGTCATTGATCAACTTTTGGCTGAGTTTAAGAAACGAGTACCCCTTTCTGGCAGAAAAAGCTACTACACTTTTGTTACCATTTACAACAACATACTTATGCGAGAAAGCGTTTTCCTCGTATGCACATCTGAAAACCAAACACAGAAACAGACTCGATGCCAAACCAGACCTGAGACTTTATCTTTCTCCACTGCTACTGGATTTCCAAGAGCTATGCAGAGCAAAGCAAGCGCATCCATCACACAGAGGAAATTTAAACGTAAATCCCTGGAAATATTCATTTTTAGGAGGGGGTTCACGAGATTTCACAAAAGAGATTTAGTAAAAGAGATTCACGGATTGTTAAATTTGTGAACCACTGATGTAGATTATACTGGTGAGTAATATCATGAACCATCTAGGGTATGTGTAGGTCAGGAGTTTAATCAGCTGGGTTACTATGGCCCAATCCGACCTCCCTTAAGGTCAAGGGATATTACTCCATTAACTTTACTGGGATATAGTTTGAGTCACAGGAAGCAGAATTTTATTACCTGATGGTTATCCTAATGATTAATATAATTAAATTTTTGTAAACATGGTGTTTCATGCTTCTGCTCTGTTGATTTGAAACATGACATCCTCAATGAAAGACCCATCCAATAGGAATGTCCCATGTCTAAAAGTCTGATGTTTGTGCATCAACAGGTTCTGGACTAACAGCGCCTCCAGAAACAGGTAACTCAAGATTTATACTTTGCCTTGTAAATTACGGACTTGATCCTGCTAGATGCTGAGCAATCTGGCTCTAATTCAGCAAAGCACTTAAGCACAGGCTTAAATGTATGCCCTTTGGTAGTCCAATTGCAGTCGATGAGCTTAAATGTTTTGCTAGACCTGGCCGAATAGGTTCTATATGTTGAACTGCGCATCTCCGGAATCTGTACTTCAGTGTCTAAACGCTCTTACAATGTAAATATAATAGACAGGAATTCTAACAACAAGTATATACTACTGCTATACAAGAAGTTGTGCTGCTACTATTAAGAATTTAAACAAAGGAGAGGTTAGATGCAATCTTTAACATTTTTTTCTTGCTGATAAAGAAACAATGTAATGTTTTGAAAGTATTGATCTTCATGGTAGGCACTGAAAAGTTTTATCTTCTTTGGTGTGGGTATTGAAACTGTAACAAGTACTCCTCAGGTAATACAGGAAAAAGCTGATGTACCCAAAACTATAGTTGTGGGCATGGAATTCACAAGAACTACACATCTAGATATAAGCCCCTGTTTAGTTGATACTAAATAATAAAAAAGGAAAAATTCCTTCCAGTAGATTCTGTGGCACCATTTTGAATATATTTATCTCTGTAAGAATGTTTAGTCCAGATCCTCACCCCATTTGAATTGGTGTTGCTGATCCAAGTCAATGTATCTACACCATTGTACACTAGCAGGGGATCTGGCTCTGCGGGTTCCTTGACCATTTGAGACATTCATCAAATTACCCAGTATTAAATAGATGAACAATTTAGAAGATACCTTTAAACTACAATAATTGTTCAAAGAAAAAGAAACAAACAAATACAAATTCCTTCACTATATACTGTTGATTAATCACAGTTAACTCATGTGATTAAATCAAAAAATGAATCGCAATAAAAATGAATAGTGATTAATCATAGTTTTAATAGCACTGTTAAACAATAGATTACCAATTAAAATGTATTAAATATTTTTGGATGTTTTTCTACATTTTCAAATATATTGACTTCAGGTACAACACAGAATACAGAATACAAAGTGTACCATGCACACTTTATAGTATTAATTTTTATTACAAATATTTGCACTGCAAAAATGATAAACAAAAGAAACAGTATTTTTCAGTCCACCTCATCCAAGTACTGTAGTGCAATCTCTTTATCGTGAAAGTGCAGTTTACAAATATAGATTATTTTTGTTAACATAACTGCACTCAAAGACAAAACAGTGTAAAACTTTAGAGCCTACAAGTCCATTCAGCCCTATTTCTTGTTCAGCCAATCACTAAGACAAACAAGTTTGTTTACATTTATGGGAGATAATGTTGCCTGCTTCTTATTTACAATGTCACCTGAAAGTGACAATACGCATTCACATGGCACTTTTGTAGCTGGCATTGCAATGTATTTACATGCATGATATACAAACCTTCTTATGCCCCTTCATGCTTCATCCACCATTCCAGAGGACATGCTTTCATGCTGATGACGCTCATTAAAAAAATTAATGCGTTAATTAAATTTGTGACTGAACACCTTGGGGGAGAATTGTATGCCTCCCGCTCTGTTTTACCCCTATTCTGCCATATATTTCATGTTATAGCAGTTTCGGATGATGACCCAGCATGTTGTTCATTTTACGAACACTTTCACTGCAGATTTCACAAAACGCAAAGAATGTACTAATGTGAGATTTCTAAGGATAGGTATAGCACTCGACCCAAGGTTTAAGAATCTGAAGTGCCTTCCAAAATCTGAGAGGGATGAGGTGTGGAGCATGCTTTCAGAAGTCTTAAAAGAGCAACATTTTGATGCGGAAACTTCAGAACCTGAACCACCAAAAAAAAAAAATCAAATACTTCTCTGCTGGTGGCATCCGACTCAGATGATGAAAATGAACATACATTGGTCCGCACTGTTTTGAATCATTATCAAGTAGAACCCGTCATCAGCATGGACGCACATACTCTGGAATCAGGGCCGGCTCCAGGATTTTTGCCGTCCCAAGCGGCGGGAAAAAAAAAACAAAACGCGATCGCGATCGGCAGCACTCCAACGGCAGCT